GAGTTAAAAAGGAAAACTGTCGGCCACAGCTTTTTTCACTGCCGATCGGTTGTCTTGATCGGTTGCACAACCGATCGGGACTTTCTTCAGTTTTGCCGCACGGTTGTCTTGATCGGTTGCACAACCGATCGGATCGTAACTTTTGCTCCACAACTCCGTTTGAGACAAACTTACCACCGTTGGAAAGCTGATTCGATTTCCTACAACTTTCATGAAGGGCTCCAAAGCTAAATCACAGGGGAAAGTCTTCATATGATGTGATCTTTCAAGTACTTCATTTGGAGCCATCATCTAGATCGAGTGTAGACCGATCTGTTTGTAACTTTTGATACCCTACTCCGTTTGATATGAAATCACCACCATTAGAAAGCTGTTTCAATTCTCTATAACTTTCATGAAGGGCTCGAAAGCTAAATCACAAGGTATAGGCTTCATATGATGTGATCTTTCAAGAACTTCTTTTTGGCTCTGCTTCCTTCGCTTCAACCTCGTGTTCCTCCGCAACTCCAAGCTCCAAGCTTCCCAATTACCTAAAATGACTCAAAACATATGCAAAATGCTATATATACAACCTAGGACTCTAAAATGTAAGCTAAAACAAAATGAGACTCAAATGCATGAAAAACTCCCAAAACTATACAAAGTGGAATTAAAAACTTATGAAACTAAACCTTAAAAAACATGCAAAATATGGTGTTATCAGTTAACCTAGATCAACTTTCTAAGTTCAGTTTTGTGGTTCAATCTAGGAGGTTGGAGAAACTGTAAAGTCAAGCTTGATTTAGTAAACCAATTTTAGTGAAATCTTTTTTTAGTTTATAGTAAATATATTTCAGATGACAAACAAAATTTGCAAAATCCTGGAAAATGATAATGATAAGTTGCTTTTTGCATTATAAAACTAACTAAACTTTGACAAAAAAAAAATTACATAACTAACTAATAACTTTTTTTTGCAGCAACTAACTAATAACTATTCATATAAAGAATGGCGATTGAGTCGTGTTGCATAAACACTACTCCCTCCGTTTTCGAATAGTTGTCGTTTTAGAGAAATTTTTTTGTTTTTAATTAGTTGTCGTTTTCAGTTTTCGATACAAAATTTATTACTTTTTTATTTTTTTATATTTATTTTTATTATGCAACTTGATTTACTATTGGTTAAATTATGTTTAGGTAGATAATTAATACTCTCTCCGTTTCGTTTTACTTGTCGTTTTAGAGTTAAAATTTTGTTTCATATTACTTGTCGTTTTAAATTTACAATGCAAATTTATGACAGATTTTCCAGTTTTAACCCTACTTTTTAAGCTTATTAATTACATATATCAAACAAAATAATGTATTAATTAGGGGTAAAATAATAACTTTAATCGTTTTCTTAATTTGTGTGAAATAATTTAGAACGACAAGTAATATAAAATGGAGGGAGTAATATTTTTATATTAAAAAACTAACAACATTAATAGTTTCTTAATTTGTGTGCATATAGTTAAAGCGACAATAATTCGAAAACGGAGGAAGTATTGAAGTTGTGATATTTATTGCATAAACGTGTTCAATGGGCCGATGACTTGACTTTTTTGCCATTCTATCGGATCAAATGGACAGTGCACTATAAAAATGTTCGATGGGCCGATGAGCATGTTTGACATGCTACTTTACGGGATAACTATTTAAAAATGCCTAAAAATGCAACTTTTTTTTTTTTAATGAAATTTCTTTAGGTATATATATTTCTAGAAAATAAATATGGGATTCGATACAATTTAAAAAAAAAAACTTTATAACTATAAAACTACACAATATACTTTTAATTTGTGTTAGCTTGTTGTTTAAAGTTTCAACACTTTGTTTCTAGTTTTTAAAGTATCACATATTCACATGGAAGTAAGAACATATTATGGTAAAATAGAGTTATATTTCTATCAATGATTAAGCTATTGATTTTATTTAGTATATTGAGTTTTAAGATTTTTATCCTAGAATTCTAGTATATAAGATTTCCCTATTTTCTTATGTAGAATTTTTTATATATATATAAATTATGTAGAATTCTGTTATACATAAACAATACAATTTTATTAATCGTAATCATAGAATGAATTTTCAATTCAATAACCATGTTATGTGACAAAACTTTATATCAATGGTATTTTTAGAACAAAAAGAAAAAGATTTGAATTATTACTTTAAGGCCTAATTTACTGATCATAATACATCATAAGCTTTCTCCCATTTTTTTGTCAGATTCATCCACAAAACTTGTTTTGTTTGTAATAAACACAATAGTAATGTTATACTCTATGATAGAAGAACTTTAATATCAATGTCTGTTTTAGGAATAAAAATATGATATGAATGATTATTTTTCTTCTCTTTTTATTTTGCTCCAATATTATATGAGCAGTGTATTTTCAAGACTAATTTATTGAATATGTTGACCCTTAAAAAGCAAAGAAATGAAATTTAAACGCATTAATTGGATCTCAGCGATCAACTAATAACTAACTCAAGAAAATCTGAAGCCAAGTCGGTCAGTCCACGTCACTATTGACATCCGTGTCCACCTTACACACTCACCAAATCCTCAACTATATAACAAAGTCCTAAGAAAGATCTTTCGTTTTCTTTCTTTTTTGTTATTTCAGATTCGTTTTTTTTTTGTGTACTTCAAAGTAAGGGAGAAGAAGACACAGAAACATGGCTTGTCTTAGGAACACACTCTGTCTTGTTGCAGCTTTGTTTCTGATCTACCAGAAGACAGCTACTTGCGATTTCCTCTCTCCTCTTCTTGCTCCTATGTTTGGTATGTCTCTTCCTCTTCCTCACTTTCCCTGAATTATTTTTCTCCAATTTGATATTGGTGGAATTAACCATCTAACCATCTAATCCAAATCTTGATTCCTTATTAAATTAAGTTAAGTTCCTCTCGTTTTATCATTGATGTATTTAACTTCTTTGAAACAAAAGGATAATCTTATTAACCAAAAAAAAAGGATAATCTGTTTAAACACTTTAAATATTGTTTAAATAGAACAAAACTTGACTATATTAACTTGATTCTGTCGAGATTAGGGTTTTACTCCCGCCAGAATTTGAACTAGAGATGTAACTTTTTTTTTGTGTGACAGAATTAAAGTATCTTTATGAGTTGGGTTTTGAGTAAAAGTGATCTTCTTTAAAGGGTCCTTCTCAAATTTTCGAATTTTGTATATGGTATGACTTATTTAGAGTTGGTTGATGCAATTATTGTGGAAACAAAAAAAAAACAGATAATATATGCAAGGAAGTGGAATGTGGGAAAGGGAAATGCAAATCATCTTTGAACACAACTTTTATGTATGAATGTGAGTGTGAAGATGGTTGGAAGCAGTTTGATCAGCACCTCAAGTTTCTCCCTTGCATCACCCCTAACTGTAATATCCTTCTCTTGATCTCTCTCTTGATCACTGGTTTAGATTGGTTTGATCATATAGAAATACATAACAAAGTATACATTGCATCTTCTTAGGTACCTTTGACCTAACATGTGGTGAAGCAGCATCTCCAGCACAACCCAAAACGCCTCCCAAAGACAACATTACTTCATTATTCGACGGTAATAATCTTTAATCTCATTCTTTTTATGTTTTTATCAAGAGGTATCCGGCCTTATGCATGTAGTTCCCTCTTGTCGAAGATCAGAGCATGTTAATATTATCCTCTTCTTCAGCATGAAACTCGAACATGAGACCTTAAGACACATCTGGTCTTTAATCTCATTTTCTTCCTCGATGTGTGTTACTTAACATAGCTTGTCAATGGATGGATTGTGGAGGAGGGTTTTGCAACAGTACAACAGCGTTTCAATACAGCTGCAATTGCCGTGAAGGTTACAGCAATCTCTTGAACATAACCACATTTCCTTGCTTGAAGCAATGTAAGAAGAACAATTTTTATTGATTCTCATCAATTGAAGAAAAACCAAGAGTTAAAATTGGAATTTGTGTTTGGTAGGTGCACTTGGAATGGACTGTTTGAATCTTGGGATACCTTTGTCAAACACATCATCGTCTTCTCCACCTGCTCTGCCTGATAGCAGCAAGAATCAAGGTTTGACTCATTAAAATGTCTGCCTTTATCTTAATCAAGATAGGTTCTCTTTAATGTTGAAGCTTGTTTTAATTTGAGCAGGATTGAATACAAGAGGATCATCATTGTGGTGGATAACATTTATGCTATGTGTCTCTTTAGCACCATGGAGGCTACACTACATTTGATTTCTTATAGTTTTGGTTCCAAATTTAGTGTACAAATACATTACTTGACATGTTTTTAGTTGGGCATTGTACTACTTTACTTTTTCTCTGTTTTACTCTTTTTGTTCATCTTTTCTTCTCAAAAACAAATACGATAGATTTCTATATATTTATTCAGTCACTGATTTATGATAGAAATACGTAAATGATTTTAAGTCTTTTTATTTTTGTCGACTGCATAATATTCATGAGAAACAGGGGAACAAGAACAAAACCAAAAATGCCTTTTAAAGCTCTCGGAGATATGTCAATCTCCAAAATCCATGACTATGAGTCTATGACCCAAGAAAAACATGCTCTCACTCATGAATTAATCTCAGCCTCTTTGGTCCACTATATGGTATCCAAATAACATCTTCACTACTTTTGAACTCTTGTACTAGCTACCACAAGAGTTGCAGCACCACAAGAGTTGCAGCACCAACATGTAACCATTATCTATCAATGGAAGCTAGTGCAAGAATTCAAAAGTGGGAAAACTGTTAACTGGTATACTAGAGAAGCTGATGCCACCAACTGCACCTTGCACGCCAAGATAACCACTTCTACCCCCAAAAACTATTATATCATCAAGTTACACAAGTGTATGAAAGAACAAATGTAACACCTTGGGCAGAGAAAGATAAATGTATGTAGAGCATAGTTAGTAGCAATAAGAATAAAGCAATTTATATAAATAAAAAAACACACAGACTGCTATAATATACGAGGCATTTCCAGGATCAAAAGTCAGGGAAGATAGCAAGATGATCAGGATATACCACAACAAATATAGCGTCACAAGCCATTATACCTGAAGAAATTGTTTATCCTTCAGAATTGGTAATGGACGCCAATACAAAAACCTAAAAACACTTAAAAAAATATTTCTTCAATAGGGGAAAATTTGTTTCAATATGCTCAGTGGAAGGAGAAGTCGTTTAAAATAGGAGAGCTCACGGTATAACCACTGCTCTTCTCACACTCTTCGTGCTTTTCTCTCATCATTGCATCATCAATCACAAAAGAAAAAAAGCATTGAAAGAACAAAGCTTCAGTGTGTGTAACAAATTCAGATCATTGATTCAAGAACCTCACTGAAATCCGCTAAGATAATTGTCTTTTATCATCATCAGCTTACAAGTCAATCAAAACAGAGAAATTTATCTTCAAATCAAACAAAAGAGGAGATTTTTGTGTGAAAGGCCAAAAGGGTGATTAATACTCAGACAGCCAAGGGTTAATCTTCAACTTCTGGGAGAAGAATCCCAGATCTGAAACTCTAGTCCACAATAACACTTGTTTCATCACCATATTAACTAACCCCTTCCACACCCATAAAAACAATTCACAAAACCCTAAATATCACCAAATCATCATATAAAGAGACGAAACTAGTCACAGACCTAACCCTAAAATCACCAATTATAACATACAGACATGAAAAAAGAGCAAGATCCTACGAACTTTGCAGGAAGCGAAACCATATAAATACATACACAAACTCAAAGAAACTCATCTGAGAAATTAGGTTTCTTCCGGCGGCGACAATTTAATTTTAGGTTTTTCTTAGCCCAATTAATCTATATGGGCCATATTATTCAGCCCAACAAATAACTTCATTATCAAGTAGAATATCTTTTTCATTACTACTACTTCTGTCTAAAGTCTAAACCCCAAAAATGAAACTGACGCAACCTGCAAGATATGTTACACTAGCTGTTACAATTTACAGTGCCATGCAAGTTTACCATATATGTCTAACCTTTCTCGTCTCAACAAATCACTATTTTGGAAAACATCACAAAAATCAGGAAAATGAGTGTTCATATACACTAATACTATTAGTCCTAGGCGTTCGGTTATCGGTTCGTATCCATTCGGTTTCGGTTCCTTCGGTTCTAAAATTTAGTATCCATTCGGATATTTTGAAATTTCGGTCCGGTTCGGTTCTGGTATTAAAATTTAGTATCCATTCGGTTATTTTGTTTTGGATATTTTCGGATATTTTGGTTATTTTTGGGTATTTTCGGATATTTTTGGGTATTTTTCGGTTATTTTCGGATATTTTTGGGTATTTTTCGGTTATTTCGAATATTTTTACTATTTTATATATTTTTCAAGTATTTTGATTATTTGGTCTATAAATAAATATTTTTAAAAATATAATTGTAATCTAATTGTATTTCGGATATTTTTGGTTATCCAAAATATTTCGGTTCGATACCAATTCGGTTACGGCTCTTTCGGTTATAGAATTTAGTATCCATTCGGTTAGTCTCAAATTTTTGGTTCGGTTTGGTTGGGTTCTTTTTACTTCGGTTTCGGTTTATTTATCCGGGCCTAGATACTATCACTAGGTTCAAGTGTTCAACATTAATGCAAATTTCTGATATTTGGAATAATAATGTCACATCCTTTTAAGTTGAACTTGTTTCTTAGAGCATCTCCAACCCACCTCTATATTTGTCTCTAAACTCTATTTAAAGGCAAATCTACTCCAACCCACTTCTATTCTCACCTCTAAAATAGAGATTTTTATTTATTTCTCTATATATAGAGGTAAGAATAGAGAATCTCTATTTCCCCCCCTATAAATAGAGTTAAAACTTTTTAGAGGAAAAAATAGAAAAACACATTGGAGTAAAAATAGAGAAAATTTACCTCTATTATAGAGATAGAGCTAAAAATAGAGAAATACATTGGAGCTGGTCTTAGTGTTTTATATTTATTTTGAACATTACGTAACTCCCAAGTCATTAATTCATATTATTTATGTGGCTATTTTGTTTATTTAATCAGCCTAATTTCTCAGTTCCGTCAAGGATGTACAAGAAAACGCAGCAATAGTAGCTGTTTATTTGCGTAAAATTCAGTATAAATATTTAGGTGTAAGGGTGATCAATGTAGAAATTTTTTAATCACAAAATATCAAAATCAAATTTGACATATGGTTACCCAACGAATATACAATGGACAACAAGAAGAAGGGGTAGTTGTAAAGTATCTTCTTGTTTTTAATCAAATATTCCAATCATTTTTATCATTGAATTTCAACTTTGATGCTCGAATCATAATATTTCTATCTATATTATTAATTGGGAAGCATTGGATAATAAATAACCTTATAAAGGGTAAATAATTACAAAAAATGCCATTGGTTTTTAGTGTTTTTAAATAACTTCATTAAGGGTACAATAGTAATCACAAAATTAATATATTTAAATAAAAAATAGTTTAATTCTTTTAAATAATTATTAATTTCCAAAAAATAAACTAATTTTCTCTCTCTTATTAATTATAAACGAAAATTTGAAATTAAGTTTTTAAAAATTGTTAACCAATAGGAATTGAAAAACTAAGATTTGATATCCAACTAAGATTTTAATTCAAAAATAAAACAAATTTTAATAGACTATTCTATATCAAAAATAAAAAGAAAAATAATATCATTTTAATTCAAAATTAAAAACACTATCATTTAAAAGATTTATCAATGGAGGACTTTAAAATTAAATTTAAAATTTTGTAAGAAAATTAAATACAAATATTTTAAGATTCAGTTTTGTTATAATATTTTCACAAATTTTAAAATAATTTCACAATTTCTAAAATACAATATTAGGTATTAACAACTCTTTATATTTATGATGAAATAAACTCAAATAATAATAAATTTAAAGTAATTATCATTATAGCCTTCGTTTAAAGCAAGTTTGATAAATATCTAACAATAGATTGTATATATTAATTTCTAAATTATTTTGCGTTTTATTTTTTGTTTTTCAACCGGATCTTCCTTAAATAAATCCCTAATATATTGCACACAGTTTTCAAATAATGTAAACTAATTATATATTTTGAATTCAAAACAAATTATGCAGCAATAGCATATCCCTTTTAAAAATGTATCTCAAATTTTTATTTTTAGTCCAAAAATCAAATTAATTATGATTAAACAATAAAAAGAAGAATATGCAAAATTTAGCTAAGGAAAGAAACATTAATAAATTTGTTAAAATATATTTGTAACTTTAGCAGCATATATATTAATATACAAAACTCGCAGTATGTATATGGTATTTAAAAATACGCAAATAAGAATTTGGAACATGATTTTAATAGAATGAAATGAGAATAGGAATTACGAGACGGAATGAGAGGGGAACATAAATTAAAAATCAAACTAAATACCCAATTGGTATGAGTTCAGGTTATGAGCACTATATAAAATAAATTTGTTTACATACATAACCCTGTACGTACGTTTTCAGTTACACATATTCTATTTATGCCGGATACTGGACTGTCATATTTTTATTTCACGTATACAAGACGGGTTATGGGACCAAGAATTTATGACAGATATAGGACGGGATATGTTTCCCGTTCTAAAATAGTTACGCCTAGCTAATATACATGAAATAACCAAACTCAAACCGAATCTATATCTTATTTAACACATGTAATCAAACTATTAGAAATGTTTTGATTAGTTTAGAAAATAAAAAAGTAACATCATTTAACTTTTGCAACTAAATTATATCTTAGTTTTATCTTAAATATAATTTCGCACGTACGTGTAGGTCCGGATCTTAAAATATAACTATGCACTAACGCAACTGAATTTCGTTTATTACTCTAATTTTATATTATTTGTACTATTATAAAGTTCACTAACACAACAAAATATTTTATATTTTTAAAATCTATATAACAATTTCTATAAAAATATCTCTACACGTACGTGTGAATCCAAATCTAATACACTAAAATATATATCATAAAAACAACGAAATAATTTATATTGAATTAAAATTTGTTAGAACTTTTTAAAAAATATGAAATCCCGCACGTTCAATCTTTTACATGAGTTTAGCGAGCGGTTCATAATGACTTGGATTTTCTAAGTTTAAATCCGTTTGTGTTTAAAATTTTTAAAATATCGAAATGCCCTATTTATTTACTTTGGTTTAGACCTCCAAATATTTACTAGTGTACGGACCTGCATATGTAACAAGATACTGATGTCATTTTTAAAACAATTAAAAAAACAATTCTCTTACCTTCTTAACTCAAAAGAATATGCAGACGGTTGTTTAATTTCATTTTATTTTCCGTTGGCCCTATTTGTACAATGCGTTTGTGTTGTGAAGACCAAAGAGGGAATCTCTTGGTCTTGGCCTTTTCCTTTCTTTTCTTCAGTGGCGTTGAACGTCATTATTGTCGTGTCATGAATTTCACACTATTATTTTTAAGTTAAGTTAGATGTAAATGGTTGCCCCAAAAAAAATAAAGTTAGATGTAAATGATAAAAAAACCAGGTTTATATTATGTTTATAAAATAATTAAAAATGATAACTATCCTATGTTAATTACTGCAAAATATGTAATTCTATTATTTCTTACTGAACAAAATACATTTTTTTTACATGATCATTCATAAATTGACCATTGGAAGTAAATATATATATGTACCACAAAAAAAGATGCCCGTGGTTATTGGGTTTACATATGTGGAGTCTTTTGGTGAACCTTAAATCGTAAAGAATGAGATTAGATTGTAAGAGAAAGACAATAGAGTAGTTGATATGTGGTTGTTTATGTGATGTGTATGGTTAAGTCTCTTTCTGTTTTATAAAGTGTTAACTGCTTATTTGTAGAGTTCAATATTTACCGAGTTTGGTAAATTGGTCATCAAATTCTGAAGTAGATAGATTTATCAGTTTATCAATATTCCGTATGCGAGGCTATGAGTATGAAGAGCCATGCGGCTCGTAGATTCGACAAGACTGTGAATTCAATTCATTTTTGTTAATGTTTTATATACTAGGTTTGTAGACTA